TCGCTGGCTCAGAGCCTGAGCTTGGTGTGAGCCACAGCAGCATCGCTCACAGCGAGGCTCTTGTGACAGAAACAGGATGGAAAAAGGACGTCTGAGACGCTGTTGAGTGATCTGAGAGTTTTTTAGGGTGGATCAGGAGAAACAGGAGCTGCTTTTATTCTCGGAAGACGGTTTGAGGTTACAGTCGAGTATCTGAAGTGATTACTCACTGAACCAACGCTCATGAAAGTCCACTGAACGTGTCTTTGTGAAGATCAGTGCCGCTCTCGTGAAAATCACCGTCTGTGACTGATTCTGACCTTTTCTGTTTCTCCTTCAGGGGTTTTTCAGTAAACGTCTCAAAGGCTCCATCAAAAGGACGAGGAGTCAGACCAAACTGGACAGAAACACCAGCTTCAGACTGCCCTCGATCCGGCCCGCCGATGCCGACAGGTAACGCCTCCAGAGCTCGAGCTGTTCTTCAGCTGTTCTTCAGCTGTTCTTCAGCTGTTCTTCAGCTGTTCTTCAGCTGTTCTTCGCTCAGATTTGAGTTTATTTCATTAAATCGAAACATAAACACACTCCAGCCTTGGTACAGACGGGATGTCTGTGCACAGTCCTTCCTGCGCCTGCAGCCTGACGATAAAGGTCTCCACCCGGAGGCGACGCTGTCAGGCCTCCTATCGCATGTCCAGGGTCCACCTCGGGCTCTCTGCTGGTTCTGCAGGGTCCAGATGGACGGTTCAGACCCCCCTGCTAGAAGCAGGACAGCCTGGAACAGTCACTGAGGTCCTGCACAGTGTGTTTTCACGTCTGTTCAATTTCATTTATTTAGGACAGTGCATGTTAATGAACATAAATGTAAATTTACAGACAAATGTTCCTAAAATTCAGAATTATAAACGTAAACTGATCACATGAACACAGACGAGCCAGGCTGAGTGTTTCTAACCCTGATACGAGCAAACAGCATCACTTCTGCCTTTCACATGGGGTCTATGGGGGTCTATGGGGGTGACTCACTTCTGAGCCTCTAGTGGACTTTGGAGGAACTGCAGGTTTGCTCAGGCCTGGGGGGTCGACTGAGTCGGACTCTAACAGCGTTTGTTATGAAGGAGGAAACTGGCTCCATAAGAGGTTTGCTGGGAATCCTGATGTTTCGGTTTCCTTCGGTCTCGGCGACCCGGTGACGGTTTGATTGGTTTATTAGAGAGAGCTTCTGATTGATAAGCTGACTGTGGGTCAGAGTCGCGGACGCTTCGGTTTGAGTGGATCTGCAGTTTGTTCAGACTCTGATATTACAGCTCATTTCCTGCTCTGGCTGCTGCTTCTGGTCGCTCTGCGTTTCCTCCAGTAATGACGCCCGGCGTCCGTCTGTCACACGTGAGGAGGCAGACAGAGGGCGGGTCGGAGAATATTTAGCAGGTCTCTCCTCCTGCTGATGCTGGAGGTTGCGGGTTTTCCCCTCTTTCCATTAACCCGCCCAGCCTTCCCAGCACTGGCTGGAGGTGGTGTTACTGGAATCTGCTGCACTGCAGAGGGTTGGTGGGTTTGTAAGATAAAGTTTCCTCCTGAGTGTTCTCATGAGATCTTTTCCCTGGAAAACTTCCAAGTGTGACTCTGTTCCTGTTAAATTTGATTTAAACTTATTGTGAAAGTCGTGAATGACTCGTTTCCTCTCTGAGGTCTGATCCATGTGTCACCAAGAAAATATGATTCAAAAAATGTTTGTTTCGTTTCCTCGGCGATTTTAATGAGAGTAAACAAAGATATTTGACACAACAGCAGTCGGACGGTTTATACAGCTGTGAAGACTCGACGCCATCGATCACCTACAAGCACGGTGACAGTGAGGAGGAAGACGCCGTCCAGCACGCCCTCACACACGCTGTGGTGGCACTTCCTCTCATTTCCTGTCTGCTTTTTTTTAAGCGACAGTTTAGTCCAAGATTATTTTTCCTATGTGGGAAAATAATCCGATTTAATCCGAGATTATCACACCTTACAGCATTTATCACCATGGTTACTGCGTCCTGAGCGTCAGATGTTTAATCGGCACTGTCAGAGTCAGCGTCGAGGTGAGCGTGTTTCCTTATATGGAGAAATGGGGGCGTGGCAGATTTCAGACCGCAGCGATTCACC